TGCAGGGGAAGGTATTCCTCCAGAGGGCTACTGATGGTTTGCTTTCCATGAGTGTCATCAATATTACACAAGGAAAACTTTGCCCTTCTAATCCGTCCAAGTACTCAAGGATATGTACACATGGGTGGGTGGGCATGTGCACGCGCTCGTGTGCGCGCGCGCACGCAGACACACACACACACACACACACACACGCACACACAATACAAGCACACGCAGGCAGACTCTCAGGAGGCGCTCAGCACATCACAGACTCTCCTCTCCATAGCCACTTCTGCCCTAGACACAAGTGGCTGCACAGCGGTTAAGGCCTTCACATTTGCGAATCAAAGAAGACTTGTTCAGGACATGGAGAACATACTTAAAACCACATGAGGCATAATAGGTAATGCCGAAGGCTAGAGGTGACAAGGCCAGGGTGCATGAGCTCAAGGAAGGGGATGGTCAGATCAATAAGGATATTTTTTCCCATTGCACAGTGCTCAGCATCCTTCTTGAACTCCTGAGTTCAAATCAGTACAGGCACCTGAACCTGGATGTCCTGTGGGCACTTGGAACCCAACTAGCTGTCTGATGACCTCGCGGTCCCCCCCCACCCATCAAATGCTCCCTTCCCTCTCATTTACCGTCTTGGTGACAGGTATTTGCACAGCCTCGCACTGTGTCATCTCACTGTAACCAGAAAAGGCACCGGCGTTCGGGCTGCCTGTCACTACCAATCCCAATAAGCAATGACCGCAACTGAATCTTTTATGGGCGCTTTATTCTGATGGTCGACCATCTGAGAAGATGGTGGGTTCATACCCTAACAGACCATCTTGTCTTTCTTTCCAGGCCAGACCTTTTATAAGGGCTGCAGGAGTGGGCGGGGGGGGGGGCGGGGGGGCAGGCCAAAAGCTGCAACAGTCCCGTCCTGGGCAGTTCCTTGTTTCTAGGGAAGGGTGGTCCTCTGTCTCTCCCTGAAACACAAAGGTCCGGATGCCTCCAGTTGTCCCCAGGGGGTAATCTCTAGCAGTGCCCCAGGAGGTGGGCTGTTTTCCCAGGAGCCAAGACATGCCTTATCTGTAGTTTCTGAAAGAAAAGTTTTAACATACACATTACTTGCTAGATTTATAACGTTTTACCTTAAGCTAAAATTTTCCAAGTCTTGAGTCCCCTACCATCCCCCCCCATCTAATCAATCCCCCTAAATGTGTCCTAGCCACCATCCCTCGTCCACCTGAGACCAGGTTGGCATCATGTCTTAGCTTAGAGATTTGCAAGCAAAGATATGAACAGAGCAAGGTTTAAAATGGAGCCAGCGCGGCCCTGCCAGAGGAACGGCCTTGCACGTCTTACTTCTCAAACCTTTGCAATGTTAAAACAGGGCAAGAGGACCTTTGGATGGGGCATAGGGCAACCGTGTGTTTCAAAGAACTATTGGCAGACCTAACAAGAAAGCAGATATTATCGCTTCTGGACTGAAAACTAGGAACATTGTTCAGCACAAACATCACTGTGTTACGTTATCTGCACCCAAAGGTATGTGTTCCTTGGCCCTGAGGTATGTAGCTGAGTGGGCTGGGCATCTTCTGAAAAAGCAAAAGGTCACCGGTTCAGTTCCTGATCAGGGTACATGCCGGGGTTTCAAGCCGGGACCCCATCGGGACACCCGTGTGAGAAGCAACCGATCCATATTCTCACACATCGATGTTTCTCTCCCCCTCTTTCAACCTCCCTTCCCCTCTCTCTGAAAACAAATAAATGCAACTCTTTAAAAACATGCCCTCCTTCTGTGGATGTAATTGCTCCCCTTCTCTCTCATTCATACCCATTGCCTTTGTCTCTCATCAGAACACTATTAGGGCTTCTGTCAGAATTTACAAATCCCTAATACTTCAAGTTATGGATCTGAAATAAATGGTCATTGTCTCTCCCCTTCAAAGACCTTCTTACGTGTAGGGTAACAGTTTCCTGGGACCCTTCCCTCTGGGAAGCCCCCCCTAATGCTGGGGGTAGTGTATTACCTTCACCTCACTTCTGCCCCCCTCTCCCCTTCACCTCACAGAGGCACTGGGCATAGGGCTGGACCCATGCCTTGTCATGCTCCACCTGACAGGGGCTCTGCTTCCTGCTTGGGGCACCCCATGCTCCCTGAGCCCTACCACTCTGTCCGAGAGTGACAGGATTTCCTGTCTTTGCCCAGCCCGGCCCCACGTTCCCCCACCCCCAGCCAAGGCTCCACCTGTGTGCGTGTGTGCATGGGGGTGTATGTCCTGTCAGGGACATTCCCACTGCATTTGCCTTAAGAGGGAATTGGAGCAAGGCAGTACTCAAAAGGGGGTGAGAACTGCATGGCATCTGAGCTGTGCCTTAAAGGAAGAGCGAAGATTACATAAATGGCAACACGGTGGGAGAGGGCACTGTAAGGAAGGGGTCTGCTTGGGCAAAGAAGACCCTGGTACCTTGGCCTTTTAAAACTCTCTATAATGGGAATGACACATCTACACACACCTGCCCTTCCCCCTGCTGCAACATCTGTCAACATGTCACTAGTTTACTTGAAAGCAGGGAAAGATTTAGGGGTGAGTGGTAGGAGCTGATATTTCTTGAAGCAATAAAAGAAGCAGAACCCAGGTAAGTTTGTCAAGGAGAGGGGTGTCCCTGCACCCCTTTATGAGGGCATCACATGGCCCTGAAGCACAGAGCCTAAGTTGCGCTGGCGTGGGTATTGTTGGCAAGAAACAGCTGCTGTCTGGGGCTCTGGCTGTCTCACTCTCACTCGTGTTGTCTCTCTCTGTAGCCCAGGGTTTTCATTTAGCAGTCGCCATGCCCACCCTGTGATCAACCTGGAGTCACTGTCTAGGTATCCTGCAGGACCTGCTAATGGTCTCTCTCTCTCTCTCTCTCTCTCTCTCTCTCACACACACACACACACACACACACACACACACACACACACTTGCAGACTGCAGCCTGTCCCAACTCTAAGGGCACTGAGGGAAGTGCAGCCTGAGGGGAGAGAGCAACATGGAAGGGCCCAGTTCTCCATCTAACTGGCTCATGCTTGCTGCCATTGATGGGGCATCCTGCCTGCCAGGTGCTGGGCCAGGCATCACTTTTTGTGCTCTGTCCTTGCAATCCTCACCACAGTCCCAGAAGAAGTGGGATAGTATCACCCCACTGGACAGCAATGTGAAACTGTCTTTTGGCATAGCATGCAGGTGGCACTGCAGCGTCCCCAGGACTCTGCTAGTGTGTAAGCCTTTGGGCAGAGCTCCTTAGAGGACTCTTCTGTTGTCACCGTCTCTCAGTGACTTGCTGTGGCCTTGGCACTGACCAAAATGCAACTAGGGGTGGGCACTGGAAAGAATGATCTACATGGTTGCCATTCTCCCAGCTCTGCCACTCCCACTGAGGAGTGCCCCCTGGTGGTTCTGAGGGTGTCTTTGCTGTCGATGTCTATGACGATGATGGGGTCCTCACCTAGGCTTGATGAGGTTGGTGGGAGGAGCTGCAAACTGAGAGGAGGAGGCAAGGCTGGAAATAGCTGCTGTTCACCGAACTTTCTGTGTGTCAGTTCCAAACTCTTTTTAGGGGCTAAAACTATAAGGAAAATGTACTGTTGACAGAAACTGAAGTCCAGAGGGTGATGGTCATCATGCTGATTTAGTTGTCCAATGAAAGGTCATTGAGGACGCAGCCCTACCCTTGCCCCTTTGAACAGAATGTGGGTGCTCCTAGGTTTGATGACAAATCGCTTTTTCCTAGGAAGCGCTCATGACGATTGTGTTGTAAAAGAGCTGTTTTGGCGCCTCATCCCCCGGGCTCATCTGTAAGCTCCAGAGGGCACGGACTATGTCTTGTACCTTTGGGTGTCCCCAGGGCTATGCCCAGTGCCTGGCACACACAAGGTGCTCGGCCATTCATTCATTTACTCATCCAATAATATTTCTTGCAGAGTGCTGTGATGGAGGGAATTCCAGGGATCCATGGCACCTAGCCCAGCTCCTGGGGTGGAAGTGGGGTCAGCAAACAGGTCTTCTAGAGTGGAATGTCTGACCTGAGTCCTTGCATCACAGAGGCCTCTCAGCTCAGCAGGATACTGAAGGCTTTCCTTCCATTAGCAACTAACATCTGAAGATGTACCAAACTCACGGGGGCTCACAATTCAATGACTGCTTATCGAATACTCGTTGCATGTGCCAGGTCCTCTGGCAACAGAGATTAATGACAGTTCTTACCTTCGAGGAGCCTCCAGGCCAGTCCAGGAGAGGGACACACCCTTTCAGCACTGGGTGGTGAGCGAGCACGTGGGGCCACAGTGGAGAGGCACGTCCCCAAGCCTGGCGGGCCAGGTTGGAGGAGGCGCAGGCTGCGCAGGCTGTCTGGAGCCAGTGGCCCTCTAGCCAGTGGAAGGAGGAGTCGCCCAGCCCAGAGGCTGGGCCAGGGCAGATAGTGAAATGCCTTAGTGAGGATGGTGAGTGGGGCGGGGGTGGAACCGGTCACAGGCCCCCTGTGCTGCTGCTTTGGCTACCGCTGCTGTGGTTTGCATTGTTGCATCTCCCCTGATCTCCAGGTCATTTTCTGGTGGTGCAGGACTCAGTGTCTGGGCTGCCTCTGCCTTTCCACTTCTTCACTTGACCTAGTTTGGACTTGGCAGCTCCTCATATTTCTGTGCTCGCTAACTCTTTGGCCAGAGAAGTGGCTGCCTTAATGTTTTGTTGGGGTCCTCTCATGACCTTCCTGTCAGTGTTCGTGTCTCTGGCAGTGTTCCGGATGATGAATGCAGCTGTCCACGAAGGGACAGCAAAACACCCCCGGGCTGCTATAGTTTGGGAGGCCTTAGGGTTCGTTCCATCTCTCTGACCACAGAAAAGAGGGTGATGAGGCTCAGGGGTGCGTACGACCGGGACGCAGCCCTCAGAGGGTGCGGGGCAGCCGCCTGCTGTGCAGTGGACATGACCGACTGGGTTCTCGTAAGGGGGCCAGGTTAGGCCCGGTGGACTCCACTTTGCCCTTCACTTGGCATTGAGCTGCCGCCTCATCTGCCTGTGGCTCTCCAGGAGCCCCCTGAGGGCACACTAGACTTCCTTGTTCCGGAGGTTACGTATATAGGAGGTCACAGGGTAGAGCGTGGGAGTTACACTGGTGTACATTAAGGGCACGATTCTGTCCTGTCCCGGGCTGTAGCGTGACTTGAGGTGAATGTGTATGAGTCTGGCGCAGCCATGGTGCAGAAGAGAGACCAGCAGGTGCCCAGCACAGCTGGAGAAGGCTTTGCTCCTGCCCTCAGCTGAATGGGTTCTGAGGATGGCAGTGGTAATGAATCCACAGGAGGGCAGTATCTGCAAGAAGGGAATCAACAGGGTGGGAGCATGCAGAGCAGGAAGGCTGCAATCTCCTCAGCTTGCGTGTCTGAGCAGGCCAGGAATGGCACGGCAGGGATGGCGCAAAAGAAATCACTGATATCAAGGGACCGGCCCAAGGGTAAGAGGAGCATTAGTGTGGCAAGGGTGAGTGAGAGTGCAAAGCCACAGACGCACGCCAGAGCCTGCACCTGCAGATGGAGGGCCTTGGCGATGGTGAGCGTGTGGCGCAAGGGGTTGCAGAGGGTACGGAGTGGTCATAGGCCATCACAGTGAGGAGGAGACACTCTGCTCCTCCCAGAGCAATGAGGAGGTCCATTAGCAAGGCACAGCCCCGGATGGGCATCCGCTGGCTGCTGGAGAGGAAACTGGCCAGCGTGCTGGGGACAATGACCCATATACAGCAAATGTCAATGGCGGACAGATTGGGAAGAAAGAAACACCTGGGCGTCTGGAGGCAGGAGTCAATGAGGATGATGAGCGCGATGCTTGTGTGCCCTGCTAGGGTGACAAGGTGCGTGATTAAAAGGAGTCCAAAAGAGAAGTTTGCAGTTTGGCCAGATCCCCGAAGCCCGGGATCATAAACTCGGAGCTTAAGGTGTGGCTTTTCTGCAAAGGGGCTGTCCCGTGTTCCCTGATGTGGAGCTCCCGGGCTGGATGTGGAAGTTTTCTAGCAACCGTCCAGGTTGTGGGACACCCTGGAGCCCGTCACAGCTGGGAGTGTAGCCAGCTCTGCAGGACCTCCAAGCCACTTTGCCGGGCTTGGCCCTGGTCTGCGTTCTCTGAGCTTCCTGAGTCCTGCCCTCTGCTCACGGACAATAATAATGACCTGCTGGTTGTGGCGCCACTTCAGTTCACCCGGTGATTTATTACAAGACACGAGCCGAGATAAGTCAAGTCCACACATGAAGTTGTCTCCCATGTCGAAGAGTTGTCTGGGGGAGGGGGAGCAGGTGGGGTGGAAGGCGCTGAGATTCGTGTTACTAAGTAGGTTTGAATAGAGGGGACTGGCCCTACAGGCTCACTGACCTTGTTCTAAGGAATCCCTGCAAGACCTCAGGCCTGGCAGGCTGATATTAAACCCGTTTTGACTTTGCACATTGGCTGTGCTGTCCCTCCTTTAGCGCCACCATGCTCCCCAAATTCCCAGGGTTCCTGCATCTGCAGGGCTGTGAACACAATGCCCAGAGAGGAAGACGTGTGACTGGCAATAGCTGCCGCCTCTCCTGTGCCAACGCTCCTCGGCTGCAGGAGGCTCCAGCTGCCCGGACGCCTAAGCTGAGTTAGTCCCTTCCTCAGGTACTGGTGCTGTTCCGGGCTTCCCCGACCATATCACTTACTCTTCAGTCTTGTAATCCTTTGTTTCTGTCTCTTCTACCTCCACAGCCCGTGAGCTGCGTGATGGCAAGAGTCATGCCTTATTCAATCTCTGAGATAGTGGCTGGCACGTGGGAGAAGCGTCAGTGAGTGCTCGTGGACTAAAACACCTGTTGCTTTCTTCTGCATCCCCTGCAGTGAGTATACCGCACCAGGCATCAAGCAGGTACCTAACACATATGCTTGAATACGTGGTTGCGTGAAAGCAGGGAGTCTCTGATGCACTGGCGATGGCTGAGGTCATGATCGTCCAGGGAGGGTGTAGAGTGAGAAGAGCAGAGGGCACAGGGTAAGCCAGGGCACAGGGCCGGAGCCAACGGGACAGAGCTGAGAGTCGGGGTGGAAATGAGAACGCTCAGGACACTGGGGCGCTGAGTGCCTGGCAGGACAGTGGCTTTGGCTGCTCTGCGTCTAGAGTGTGGGAGCAAGGGGATAAGGTCAGGCAGCTTCCTGGGTCACAGGGGGACACGTTTGCTGCGTTCTTCCCTTGACAGGACCCAGGTGCGCATCCCTCCCTCGCAGCAGAAGAGAGGGGGAGGTTTCTAAAGATTCTAGAGAGCTAACAAATCTAGAATTGATAGGAGTTAAGGGTTCTGTGGAAGTGAAGTTGTCCCCTAAAGGACAGGAACTCACTTAGGGGCATACAGTTTCTCCAGGGCCACGGAGACTCACGTGGGCTCAGTGAAACCCGAAAACCCATTTGGATGATAGGCCTAGATGATTGTGGTGATTCCAATTTTGCACTCACTTGCGTGCCACACTGAGTATCATTGTGGTTTCCATTGACCTGCCGGGCCCCTGGACTCTTGGAGCCTGATGGGTCCCTCGAGGGCAACCTGCCCACTCCTCCCTTCGGAACAGAGGGTCATGAAGTCCTCTGCCTCATCCCCGGCCCTGTCCAGATTCACGCAGCCCAGCCTGGCTTTCCTCCTCTGCCACCGCCCCCCTCTCAGCCCCTTGTCCGTCCCAGGATCACTGTCTACGAGTGTGAGAGCGTGCTTTCTGGCTCCGGGCTTATCTTCCCTGGACTCGGTCCTTTGTCTTTAGCTTTGCCACCCCAACTCGCTGCCTCTCTTTTTCCCATGGAAGAAGGCGGGGGCTTCTCGTTTCATTGGCGCCTGAAACCTTCAAATGCCGAGAAACACAAAAGTGAAAGTAAAAGTCACAGGTCCTTCCCTGCTCTGGCCCGTGCCTATGAACACACATACCTCACACACACGTGTGCACCCACGTACAGCAAAGCAAACATGCCTGTACACACACACACACATACTGTAAAAAGTACTGTATAGGTGTTGACAATGTTATTTGACTCAGACCTGCTTAAACTAACTGCCCCTTGTGTAGTCACCAGCGTGTGGCTGGGTCTTGGGCTAATTATGGAGGCGGAACACGGGCAGGTTTGGCTGGATTCAAAGCAAGCGATCAGGCCTTACTAGGAGCAGCTTAAAGTGGGCAATGGAGCCCAAGACTGGAGCTTTTGTAAGGTCCTTGAGCCCCTACACTAGGATTGTGTTATTCTTTGTACTGACTTTAAGGTGGGGGCCTTATCAGGACTCTCAGGGCCTCCATTTTTCATGCAAACCACATATGTATACGTACCTACTTAGTGAATACTGTGACACATGACCTTGTTCAATTCAAACAATACAGAAGTGAGTAGAAATGACAGTGATCACCCACTGCCACCTCCTAGTTTTCAGGTATCCATAGAGTACAAAATCCCAGGCCCTTTCACAAGCACCTAGATGTATGCATATGTCCTGTGATTTTGTCTTTAAAACATGGACACCAGCTCATACTTATTATATGGTAACTTGTGTTTTTAGTCTTAAAAGTGACAACCATGTACAAGGGTTGAACTCATGTTTAACAGCCGCACACTATTCCATGCCATCAGAGTAGCTTCAGTGAAGGAAGTGGGGGAATAAGAGTCATGGAACCTTGAGAATGCTACTTCTCAGCTGACCTAAACTTCCAACTAATACTTTCGTCTCCCCAGTCCTGGTCTAGGTGTAGCTGAGCATCTCCCACACACCACGCTGTGCATCAGGGCAGCAGGGCCTACGGTACTTGTGGCATCCCCTGCCTTCATAAAGCAGCCTACACTTTGCAGGCCCTCCAGGCTGCCCGCTGCAGGTGTTCATTTTGTGCACCTCCATGGCCCACAGGGTTTTCTCAGAAAAGCCTCCTGACCACTACTGCCCTTTTCGAAATAGCAGTGGCCAAGCCAAAGCCATTGCCATGTCTCAGAATCTTCTAGTCCTGGGAGGGCCAGCACACTACTGGCTTCTAGGCAGCAGCAGGAAGAAGGCCCTGGTTCCAGCATTCTGCCACCCCCGGAAAAGGACACAGAACCCCCAAACAGTTGAGTTTGTGCTGAGAACCCCGCACAATCCCCTTCAATCACCCCAGTACTTTCTGCCTTTGATGCTGACCCTGAGAGGCTTTGCATAGTCCACGGTGGGTGTGTGCCACTTTCCCAGCCCTTCCACCTTCCGTTGCCTCCTCCCTCCTCCTGGCCACAGTTTCTAATACAAAAGGTCTTCTGCTTTTGAATGGACACAGAGGCCATGCCACAGGCTTTGGGCACACCTCCTCACCATGACCTTGTCCTGCACATGTGGAAAACAAAGACACGGAGCTTTCCTGAAGCAAGCTGGCTCAGCAGAAACCAACTGAGCCCAAGGGAGAAACCTGGCCTGGAGGCAGAGCTCAAGGCCGCAGCAGCCCTTTGGCAAAGCCAGTGGACACACCACCGTGGCCCAGGGCTGAAAGTGCCTGCTCTCTTTCATCAGATACTGCAACTACCCGCTTTAGTACCAGGGTTACCTGGAAATGGTGCCCAAGGGGAGGAGTGGAAAGTAAGAGGTTTCAAAAGATGAATTCAACGCTTTGAAAGACAGGCACTTCAATGAGACCCAAGTAACTGGGGCTGCATCTTTGCAAATTCCTGGATGTTCTAAAGCAGTGGTAGCTCAGCTTCCACATCGCTCAAAAGTATCCAGATTTTCTGTATGTCTCTCCCGTTGAGTATCACAGATTCTGTGCCAACGTGGCACCGAGTTCTGGGAATGTTATTCTGCTGGGACTGTAGCACCACAGGGGGATATTTGTGGGTGGGTGTCCTATGAACTATTTGGACCCTTTAGAGGGCAAAATCCTGGGTGAGTTGGCACGGAAGTAACCTAACTGCCAAGGCCCATTCCTATGGATGGTGGCCCGGATGCAGGATCTTGGCTGCACTCACCAGCAGGAACCTGTGAGTCTGAGCAGATGGGAGGTCACACAGAGTGAGTGGGAGCTTCAGCTTCTTTCTACTACAGCTCACAGGCTGAAAGACTTTTCTCTGGGGCTTTCCTATAATGTCTTTAAACTTGAATTCACGAGGGGAATTTTGAACTTTATTGTCTCCCCAGAAAATTCATGGTGGGTTTATATTTGCAGTATTGTGCACATTGGACTGTTATTATTAGTGCTTGTCATTTGACCTTGATGCCGAACTTCTGATGAGATGCGTTGGGCAATGGTGGCTGGAAATAATTAGGATGACAGCAGACAAAGGAGTGAATTGGTGGCCACTGGTACACCATAGGCTCAATAGTTAAGCCCAGAGGGTTAAGAAGCACAACAATCTGTCCAATGTGGAGTGCGCGTGCTGTTAGGGGTGTACCTTCTCTCTCCTGGTTTCCTCCCTCAAGGAAGTTGATGCCACATGGAGATGCAGTGGATCATGCTGTTGGTGGGCAGCATGCACAGGTACACATTTCTTCACCGAGTGGTTAACTTGCCAAAGGTTCCAAGTGTGGAGCACTTGGTCTCTTTCTTCTTCCCTTTCCCCACAACTGGGTGGGAGGCCGCAATATTGGAAACGTGAGCCTGCTCTGCAGGCCCAAAACCTTCCTCCATGGGTTGTTAGAGTCTAGACAGGGGGTGGGGTTTTGGGGGGGCAATTAGCAAGCTCAGTCTGCCCCTATAACAAGCGGTACCTGGTGTAAACGTTGTTTTGCTTCCCCCTTCTGTAGGGCTTTTGTAGTGTGTCTCAATTGGCTCAGTTGGCAGGAAGAGGTGTGCTATTTGTTGGCCCTTCTCTACTCCTCCAAATTCTCAAATTAAGTGCCATTATTTGTATCTAAGTTTCTCAGAAATTGTGCTGCCAAGCATTCAGGAGTGCGATCCCAGACTGAACTCCACACCCCGGCTCCTCCTTCACTATACTGGCTGTGGGCCTCATACCTGCCTGGGGGCCATGAGGAAGCCTCACCCTCTACCCCCTCATCTGCACACCAGGGCTCTTCTCCATGCAATCATGTGCAGCTACTCCATCGGGTTCATTGTATTTTCCTCGACAGTCTCTTTATGTTTTGAAAATGTTAGCTGCAGATTGATGGGTTCTCTTTATTTTCTCACCTTGTATTTGGACAACCAACTACAAAGAATCCCATGGTTGGCACTACCTAAAGGTAGGTAAGTATTGGAGCTCTAGGTCCACCAGGCAGCCTCCATGTCCTTCTGTCTACCTTCTTTCCTCAGGTGCTAAGATTC